TGGAGGAATATGGCGGAGACTCCAACCCAGAGGTGTGAGGCGACAGTGCAAACCACTGCACCACTGCGCCGCCCCTCGGTGGGAATGTAAATTCTCATATGTACACCAAGTACACCTTTTCTTCCCCTTTCGACATTACGTGTAATTCCTTCCATTCCAGCCCAACCTCTGGCCCCCCAGCTGCATTACAGTGTGCAGTGTGCCCAGTGCTATTGCTGTTCGAACCTTTTACCAACCCTCCGTGCAGGAATAAAGCGTATCAATCCAGCCATCTATGTGTCACGGTTGCCGGGAGATGGGCTCACCGTTCCAGCTCTCGTGTCTGAAGAACCAGTATCTCCCTCCTCCGTAGTTCACAAAGATCATTATGACAAGAGCCAGCCTGCGGGGGCAGAGTCAGCAGTTTCCCTTCATGTGGATGCAGAAGAGAAGCTCCCCCCCTACGCATCTCTTCCTGGGATATTTCTACGCACATTAGCATTTAAGAGCTTCCAAACGCTACATTAGCATCATGTCCTGTAAGCTCTTTCAGCATAAGAGATACACGTGTGGACACTGTAGGAATATCTCACCCCCAAGTGCAAGGAGATAGTAACGTCTACAAGGTTAAATGGCAGAACAGCTGAATGCGGTTCTTGCAGAGCATCTGGATAATGTGAGTATCTAGACTGCGATATTAAATACGCTGTAAGCACCATCCGGGAGACGGGAGACAGTGGGGGAGTTTACCCTCGAAAGGTGTCCAGAGAACGCAACCGGGTGCTGGGGGTCGGGGGGGTGGCGGGCAACTCATAGGAGGAGTCCACGGTTCTGCTGGGGGAGCCGAGCTCCTGTAACAGAAGGGTGGTTAAACCATGTCAGACAGGCATCTCTCTGGACGACCTCTAGGGGCCTGCTTATCAGTACAGTAACAGAAGGGTGGTTAAACCATGTCAGACAGGCATCTCTGCGGACGACCTCTAGGGGCCTGCTGATCAGTACAGTAACAGAAGGGTGGTTAAACCATGTCAGACAGGCATCTCTGCGGACGACCTCTAGGGGCCTGCTGATCAGTACAGATGTGCTGCTAAGCACCTGCAGTGTGGGCGTGGGCAGTAGGCGAACAGAGAAATTCATGTGTGGGGGAGTATTTTTAATATGATAAAAGTGGAAGGACTGCAATAATACTAATAATAAAAAAAAATAAACTCACTGAATTTACGAGCCTGTCCATTTCCATGGTGTTTCCCAGGCAACACAGATTTCTTACCACATCCAACCTGGAAATAAGAACAAATTAGTTGGGAAGGGAGTGAAGTGGATGTAGGCGGCTTCTACTCGCTTAGCGAATCAACTGCGTCATGAAGACTTTAAGTGTGGGGGGTTATCAAGGGGGAAAGGAGAAAAAAAACCTCACCCCATGACAGTTCGTCCAGCAGCGACCAGAATGCACAATCCGGCATACACCACTACAGCGACCAGGATGGCTAGAAGAGGGAAAGTACAGAACTCACTGCAAAATGCACTCAGTGGCCAGTTCATCAGCTACACCTGCTCTTTAATGCTAACGGCCTGCTCCCCCAAACAGCCAATCATCTGCCTGCAGTGGAATGCATGCAGCGCACAGATAGGGAGATGAGATTCAGCTACTGGTTGAATAAGCCCCATCTGGCTCCCTATGACACATATATAGGTGAGACCAAGTTTGGCAGCGAAGGGCAGTGAAGGGCAGCCACCTGCAGTGGAGCCCATGGAGCTGGGGGTTAAGGGTCTCGTTGAAGGGCCCATAGCGACTATTCTGCCGAGGCTGGGCTCGAACCGGCGACCTTCCGATCACAGGAAGACTGAGCCCGCTGAGCCACACGCTGTGCCAATCAAGCGGTAATCGAGCGTAGAACCATCCACGCAGAATGCAATCAGAGGGAGCGAAATCGGACAGGGAGTGAAATCGGACAGGTAGCTCACGCAGGTAACTGTTGACAGGCTCCTTGTCGGTGACTATGCTGCAGCTGGCTCTCACGGACTCGTTGTCATTCTTCACCCACAGAGAGTAGTTACCCTGCTCTCCAAAGTGGAAGGCAACCCTAGAGGACAAGAGTAAACGTCTTTTCACAATGTTTGGCACAGTTTAATGCCGATACTTGCAAAAATACACGCCTACCCTCTTGAGTGAATGGATTACAATATTTAACAGAAATTTACTTGTAACAATGGAAGAAGATGGACAGATAGTATAGAATGGGGCAGCTGGACAGCTTTACGGTGAGGAATGTGTCATAGAGGTGTGTTTACCTGCATAGCTCCTGGTTGCCTGTGCTGCTATTGAGCTGCAGGGTTAGAGGATGCTGGGAACTGAGAACGAACGCTGCCGAACTGGGAGTCCCAGGGATTGGCTGTGCAGGGACCAATCCAAGGGGCTGGAACAGGCACTGAGAGACGGGAGAATCAGTGCGTCATTGGTACAGCACTGTAGACATGCCAAGGATGGTGACCTCACCTCAGTCACAGTCTCTCTAACCCTATGACACTCACTGTGGTGAAGTGGGGGGCGTGGTTACCCTGGCAGATTCAGGGGGCCCAGCACTCATAAAACACGAGATTCATGTTTTAATCGTGGGGACTTCCCCCCCTTAAATCGTCCCATATTTCTCCAGATTGAAAGTGAGCGGCTTTTCAGGAGACCCAGAATTTCTAGCTGTGGCCCTGCACGCACGCACGCACACACACACACACACACACACACACATACACACACACACACACACACACACACAAACAGAAAACTTCCCTAAAAACCAGATGAAATCAACATAAAACCAGTCAGCTTACTCTGCAACGCAGTCTCCCGTCCGCCTGCTCACCTGAAAGCAGTGATCTGACAGCCAAGACACCAGGACGTCTTGCTGTAGCTCGCTGTTAACGATCAGAGAAGCCTCATCCATTTTGAGCGCCGTAGACTTTCGGCCAGGGTGAGAAACTGGGGAGGGGCATCAAATTGAATGAAAAAGTCATCTGAGCGAATATTAAACTGTGTACTTCAGGCAATTCCCTTTTTCAGAACAAAAATCTATGTGCTTCTCTCGTAATGAGATCGGCTGTCTCTCAGCCCGAGAATCACTATTCCACCCCTGTGGGAAGCGCACTGGACCAGCAGGGGAAAGACTGATCGCTCACACTGTTGTCACATGCCACACTCTCACTTGCCAGACTGGGTCAAATCTCATTTCAGCAAGCTCAGCTGTGGAGCTTTTGGAGGGAAGTTTAAACCAGACCAGAGCCTGGGGTCTGCCCAGGTAGCCGGCTGATCTGACCACATCGACTGGAGTGCCGTATTTCTTCGAGTAGCAATCGGTTTTATTTGTATCTGCTTGTCAAAAAGTAACCGACGTCATATTTATGCAAATATGTAGCAGCTCAAATTAAATCTCCTCCCTGTTTCCTTTTAATATCATCGTTCAGAGTGAGCAAATTAAAAATAGATTTAACCAACACCAACGAAAGTAACCCACCACTATCATATTATAAAAACCTATTAGATTGAGAAACTGAAAGTACGGGGGATTCCGCTGTTAGTTCCTCCCTCCAGTCACACGTACTGAAAAACAGCCAAATGAAACTGTATTTTTTACAGCTTTAAAGTGAGTAAAATACTGCAGCACAAATGATGAAGTTTCATGTATACAACACAGCACAGCGCAAATAAACACCAAGATTACAACATTTCCCCATCTACCTATACAAAAATCCCCGATGAGGCGCGGTCACAAGGGACCTTGTTTTAATTTGACTTTATTAAAACGTCTATAAACAGAGAGTCATACCGTCGCTTAGCTCATACACGACCCGACATCACTGTTGCCATGTACTATAAGCTTCGCGGCGGATCGCAGCCTGGATTGCCTCGTGTGCTGCTTACCGGACATCTGAGCTGCCAAGGGCAGCGCGCAGACTGCGAGCACGGCCGCGATCAGCGCCCGCAAAGCCGCCGCATGCCGCCCCTCACACCCGCGCATCTCCGCCGAGTCCCCCTTCCCCTTGCTGTCGCCAGCGTCGGCTCTGCGCTCGCCTTTCCTTTTTCCTTTCTCTCTCCTCATGACGGAGACTTCCGACCCCTCCTTTCTGTTTTGACACGCGAGGGAGAGAGAGAAGGGACAAAGTACGTGGAAGCGGCGCGGACCCGAGGCCTCCACGCGGACACGCGCCGCTTTCCCGCGTTTGGATCCCAAAGCAGATGTGGTTTAACTGTATGTCATTTGACGGATGGTGTGAACAATCACAACCTGATGCAAATGTCAACATTTGTGTAAGATTCTGTATATAGCACACAAGACCTGGCGATCGATTCTAATTACCCTTCTCTACTTAGAAAAACCAAAACGAATATGTTAATGAAGCTAGTTAATATTTATGAGACCACGACACTAATTGGCTGGAATAGTTTTAACAGGATATTCAGTCAAAACCAGTGCTTGAAGTTAGCAGGTGTTAGCAGCGGAACGCAGTTCCGGAACTTCTGTATTTTTGTCTTTTGGGTTCCGCCACTTTTTTCTGCGTTCCGGTACTTACTGAAACTGATCTGACGCAGCGACAGTGGCCCGAGAATAGACAATATCACAAGACCGATAAAAGACTACATTACCCACGAGCCACGACAGTGCCCTATCATATGCATCCACTGAGTCCCAACCAATCGCATCAGCTTTAGCCCTAGTCTATTTTTAGGCCTACAAGTATCACACTGGTCTGGTTCATGTTGTTTTAATGGTTTTTCAGTATTCCATTTGTGAATTAGAAAAAAGTAGCCTATGCCTATAGGTTATTGCTTGGAAGAATGATTAAATTAAAGTAGTCTTTGAACCAACACATCCTAAAGACTTGATTTTTTTTCCACCGCACAAATGTCAAATGTCGGAAAATTAGAGTTCCTGCACTTATTTTTTCCCACTTCAAACACTGATCAAAACAGAGCATTTTCACCTTATGAACGCTATTTTCTGACAGACAAGACATTACAGGGGACTGTATCCCTTATAGAGCTTTTGGATTCCTGATAGATGTGAGCAGTGACAAATGTTTTATAACACCCCATTGACACCTAGCAAATGTGGTTGGCTAGTTAGCTAAACAACACGGTCCACACGGAGCTACTAACGGACAATGTAAGCTGGGGTTACTGGCGTGCAGATAGTTATTTACATCCATATAGCGCTGCAGGCTAGCGGGTTTTTCTGACACAAAAGCGAATTAACCAAAATTAGCAAATGCCAGCTCTAATCATGACACTCAAAGAAAAAGTCAGGTTCGAGGCACTCGCCTAGCGGCGGAAGTGAGAGCGGTGGATTATGGGTCATCGTTAGCTGAGTGGCTAACGAAGCTAACGCGGGTTAAGGATGAGCTGGGCGACGGAGCGGCGGGGCGAAGCGAAGCCGAGCGGTCCTGTTCGTGAAAACTAAGTTTGCTGGAAGACAGAGAAGCTGTTTCTCTCCCACGAACGAAAAACAAGGTACATGGGTGTGGAGCAGTGCCTGGCCCGCGGCCGGCCAGGCTGAGACTGTATTCCAGCCTCGGGGGAAGCGCACGTCCGAGTCGAAGTGATGGGGGCGAAAACGTGCAGCTGGAAGGACTAAATGAAATAAGATGGACGTAGTTTAAAAGTTTCTGTCTGGTTGTAGTGAGGGTGTCTACCCGCATGGTCAGACGTGAAGTCCCCACACCTTTAAACTGGCACTCTGCAAATTACTGCTTTATGTTAAGCTATGAAACTATGCAATAAATAATAATAATAAATATCCTCCGTTCTTTCCATACATTGTAACGTCTAATTAAGCGCTTTTCATTGTTGGTGCCGATGTAACTTTTTTACAACTTCTGTTTAGTTGCACCTAACTGTAATAATCTTAAAGTTAAATTTTAATCAGTTGTAAATAGATGTATATTCGGGCCCAGTGTCCGCAGCTTTAAGCATTTTAAAATGCATCCAAGCATGACTTTAAAAGACACACATTGACAATTAACGGTGCTTTGGTTGGGCCAGATGAATTGGTTAAAATAATACTCAGACTTCTATGGACTGAGATGTAGAACCCAGGCCAAAACATTTTGTTGTCTAGTGAAAAGAAGAAGTAGTAGTAAGTATTCTTGTTCAGGACAGAGTTCCTCTATGAAGTGTACCGGAATGTAAAGTATTGACTTTCTGGTGGGCAGAATGGATCCAGCCCTACTGAGAGAGCGAGAGCTCTTCAAGAAGAAAGCCTTATCCACACCCACGGTGGAGAAGAGGCCGGCTTCTTCTGAGTCCTCGTCCTCGAAGAAGAAGAAGGCCAAAGTAGACCGCGAGGGGTCCACGGGGTCTAAGCACAGTTCAGGTTAGTCGCTGCATGGTAATTACCCCTTATACCTGGATAGTGTTCCAACTGTTGTACCATTGAATCACTGCTATCATGAAAGGCAACACATTCCTCGTCCTTTCTGGTAACTCTTGAGAAATGCAGCTCCCTTGAGTTTGACAAATCGTAATGATCATGAAATAGCTTGGATGAATTTACTTTATGTTATTATTCTAACTACTGGAATGTATGTGTATGATGACCCTGCCTCTTCTGGAAGTTCCGGGGGACACCCAGAAATTCACAGCTGCTCCCTGACACTCTCAAATGACGACCAGTGTCCTGGAAATCTATCGCTCCGCTATTCAGCAGCACTAAAACTACCCTGCAATAAATAGTATCGCCACAAACCCACACCATCCGGTTGGCATGTTTTCCTGCTGGCACCCCCCCATGGCCCCCGCCAGCACTAGGGTTGGGCAGTATCAACTTTTTAATACCATCCAGACACTATACTACACTATACAGTATTTTCGCGATATTTTAAGAAGCACAGCTGTTCCAGTATTTCCCAGTAAAGTTCGCTGGGAGTGTTGCGGTAATTTCGACCGAAAATATTACCGTCATAGGGCCCAAGCTTAGCCAGCAGCCCACCCGTTTGTCCCTCCACTGCCTCCCTGAAATTAGTTTCCTAAGTTGAGATGTCTGATGATGATATAGGTGTATGGTTTGCCGTGTATAAGTATACCCCCTTGTCCTGGTCCAGCTTGATGATGCTGAATGCTGTCTTATGAGTTTTGATGCTTAATTGCTTCACTCCTGCTGTGTTGTACAGATATGTTTGATATTCATTATGGGATTATTGCGTCCATCTGATGTCTGTCCAAATGTTACCCTCTCATATGTCACATTTTTCCATTACATAAGCCGTTATGGAATACTGATTGACAATGTATTTCTAAAACGTATTCATTCTGATAACCGGTAAGTCCTTTAGAAGGCCACTTGGGGCGATACAAGACAGTTTCCCCGCACTTTTAGATAAAAGAATTTGGAAGGAATGACACACACTTTTTTTGTTTTGATGGAGAATAGACCACTGACTGTACCATGGAATGAATCAGTGCAGTGCATTGTAACATAATTAGACCATGACTGACTCAGGTCTATATAGAAGAACGACGTAACACCAGTCAAGCGTCAGTAATGATTCTTAATGTTTCATGCTGTTATGGGCTTTGTGATTTCTGAATTTTGACCTGTAGAAAATGAATAATCTAATTTATTTCAAATAGAGCCATGCATTTCCTCACAAACATCCTCTGAGAAGCATGTGACAGATGTATTCCTGACCCAGTGTATCCACAATAACAACATCCTCCCGGATACGAATGCCACTTAAGTGCATCTTTAGTACTGTAAGCCAGCTTGGCATGATAGACGTGTCAAGTGCTGAGTGTTTTGAAGTGGATTCTTTGTTTATTTGTTCTCAGGTACTGAAAGAATGATTTAAAGCTGAAGGACTGCAGTGTAACTTTAGTCATAGATTCAAATGATCAGGCACGATTTGAGTCGCAAGTCAACACTGTTGGTATTTTAATGACGTTTACAAGGTATTAAGGCAAATATAAGAATGTCGTACTATACTTTAAGACTAAATTAAATGCAGATATGTACCACAACAGGGGCGGGGAAATTTTTCTGTTTTGTGTAAAAAAAAAAAATTTAACAAATAAAGTGAAGTTTGGTATCTACAAAGGCAAAATAGCAAATAGAATGTGTAATCAGTTCTACAACAGATGGTACCAGTAATGGTTTAGGCTTAAATGTTTCAGCAACAATCTAGGTCCGGTAAATGTAATGATGATCATCCGTGATATTCATCTTTTCATTGCAGTTGCCTCTCTGAAATGTCCTTTGAAATGTAGACATAAATGATAGCTGTGTAACCCTCGTTTTTATGACAAAATGCTGAAAATCTGAGGCATGGGGTGGTGTCTCTGATTTCTGGGCCGCTGTGACAGCATCCTCTCGCAAGTGAATGTTTAATTTTTTCGGGCATCATGCCTTTATGTAAATGCAGCATTTAAGGCTGGATGGTGAGGAAGGAACATGCAAGACTGTAATTGTTTTGTTTTTAGGTATCCAGGCTTCAAATCTGCATGACGGTTTAGTTCATCGCAAAAATATAATAATTAGTGTTATTTCATCTTTGGGAGATTAGAGGGGATGGTAATTCGCTTTTGGTAGATGATGATTTATGCAGTCTGTGTCGATTATCCCAGAAGGAGACCCTGGTCCACAGGAGGGAATGTTCTGTATTCCATCCACACAGATTCCTCATTGAGAGATGTGCTTTTAACAGAAATGACCGCGACTCCAGCCACGTGTGGGAGGGGAACAGTCTGCACAGGAGGGCTCCCCCTGCTGGTGGGAGGACCCAACCTTTAGACTACCTCCACATGGCGCTTGTGCATACTCTCCACCACGGTGCGGAAGGGGCCGGGCTCTTCCCGTAGCTGGCGTGCCGTCTTGCCCTTTGCACAGCAGCCGCAGTCCAGCAGCTCATAGAGTGCGGCCAGGACCGCCAGTGACACGACTGTTAATGCGAAGAGCAGCAGGATGACGAAGCAGGCTACGTTCCAGCTGTCATGGAAGGGGTACGCCTCCTGCACCTGCAGTGCTGCGCCTGCAGGGGGCACTGCTGGGTGCAAGGCTTGGCTGGCGTTGTGACCAGTCATCGCTTCTAGGGTCTCCTTGGTGTCCCTGGGGTGTGGGGGTGGACAGATGAATTAACCACTTACAGTAGGTCACTGACGGTGATATACGCTCCTTGTATCATATTGTTATAAGTGTTTAGATCCTAAAGAAGCAGCCTGGAATTAAACTCTGCGATTTGGGTTTTGGCTGTTTTTTGCTCCCTAATTGTTCTGTACAGCGCCTTGTTAAAATGATCTGTGTAAATTAAATTCTCATCAAGTGTTTGCTACCTGAGGCACCTCACCTGATTTTTTTTTTTCCAGTTAACACGGCCTTCTGTTCATGCTTTTTAAGGAGTAGAATGAAAATTGTAAAGTATAGTGACTGTAATGAGAATAGCCATTTGTGGGTGTAATCTGGATTCTGTTGGTGGTGTCCCCGTCCCTTACTGGGACAGCTTCGTAATGAGGCACCACATGACGGGCACCACATGACGGGCACCACATGACGGGCACCACATGACGGGCACCACATGACGGGCACCACATGACGGGCGGCACCACATGACGGGCAACGCTCTAGATACCAACTAGAACAGGGGTCACCAACTTTTTTGAAACTGAGAGCTACGTCACGGGTACTGAGCCATACGAAGGGCTGCCAGTTTGAAACGCTCTTCTATACTTCATGTATAATAAACATGTTTTAGATGCTTTTTTTTTAGATATTGTAATTTTCAAATCTATATAAATGCAAATTATGATTAAAGAAGAATAGCAACAGGATAAAATTAAATTTTAGATGCTGCTCGCTGGTGAGTTGTGCTATTTTTAGAACAGGTCCGCGGGCGACTTGTGGTCCTAGGGGGCATCCTGGTGCCCGCGGGCACCATGTCGGTGACCCCTGAACTAGAATGTTGCAATGGTACAAGAATTGTAATTTTTTCCCCCACTGCATTTAGGATGAGCATTTTGGATTTATATGTGAAAATAAACAGTCCAATGTTTACGAATTTTACAAAGCATTTCGGAGGCATCGTCATTAGTTTCAACAACGAAGGGATGCATAAATAAGTGTCTGTTTAGCAGTTTTCAGCTTACATGTGGGTTCAGCTCTGCTTTGGGATCTTCTTGGTGTCCTGGCTCTGGCACCCTCACGGAGGCGCAGTGAGAGTCGGGCTTTTTGTGTTTCCCTTAATCTGCTGACCGCGGCCCGAAACCATCAACCGTTAATGAAGCGATCACGCCAAGCGTCGCGCGCGTGCACACGCTCCGATGGGCGCACGGCTTCACGATTCACCTCTCCATCTGGACCCCCTATCGGGATTCCGGTCTGGCACTGCGGCGGTCGCGCCTCGGAAACGTGATCCGGACCGGCCTGGCATGGCATCCCCACCGGAAAGCCGGGATGTCCGTGCGAGGAGCGCGAAGCGGGGAGGGGCGGCAGACTGAACATGCAGCCCGGTGCCAGGACACCCTGGTAAACAAGCGGATGTGAGTCACGGACGGGCATTCTGGGAAAGGCCTTCAGTGCCCGCGAGCCTCCGACCGGGACGTCTTAGACGCGTGCCGCCGCATCCCTGGCTAGCCACGCCTTCCGGCTCCGGTTCTCAGAACCACCCCCCACCCACTTTGCCTGCCACACGTGGGCAGATGGCAGTAGGAGTCCCCCTCCCCCAAACGCCGCATCGCCTTGCCTGGCCACGGCAGCTCGCTCATTTCTACACGGACGCGCCCCTCAGGACGCTGCTGTCCCCGTCTGACTTTCGCCACGCCTCCGACGCTCGCCTGCACCTGACTATTCTACATACCAGCCTCTTTCCTACCCAGCTATATGCTTCGGCTTATATTCTTTCTTTATCCTCCCTTCAGTAAATATTATTAAAATAAGCAGCAATATAGACTGGTGGTGTGACAAGCAAGACAAACTTCCAGGGTAACTAGTATGAAACTATGACGTCATGCCTTCTGCGATAAATAAATAAATAAACAGAGGAGTAAATAAACGGCAGGGGCGAGCGAGCGCGGCTCCGTGTGTGAGCGACGTGGCGGACGGCGGCATGCAGCGACTGGCCAACCTCAGGAGGGAGCGTGCAGACGTACCTGTGTCTTCGTCGGCCGGGATGCTGGAGGAAAAGAAGGCTGTCTCTCTTCCCCCCTCCCCAGCGGCCTGGATGTCGGGCTCCTCTCAGACGGCACAGAGCCGCGATTGGCCCACCTCACGCGCAACAGACGGACCGCCCATCCTCTGCTGAACCTCCCCCAACCCCCCCCCTCCCCCTCCGCGCTCATTAGCATAAAACAGCAGCACCCTCCCACAACCTGAATAATTCATGAGTTCACTGGCTGTGTGCGTTGTTCTCGCTGGTGGTGGGGGTCGGCTGGGGGACCATGCTGTGGTGTACCTCCCTCAGCAACCCGCGAATCAGACGTAGCCTCTGAGGACTGGATCGGCGGACATTGCCGTCTCAGTACGTTCCTGCTTATCCATAGTTAAGTGCCGATCCGCCCTGGCAGTGAGCGACACAGTTACATCCAGCGGCTCCCCTACCTGTGATTAGCTTTCCCTCGCTGAGCCATTTTTACAGCCCGTCCTTTACATCGGTGTCTCTCAGCCCGGTCCGTGGGGACTCCCAGACGGCCCACGTCTTTGCTCCCTCCCAGCTCCCTATCGTCTGGTGGTCCTGGAGGGACTGGCTTGAGGAATAAACCGCTCTACGCGCGTCTGTTTTCTGCACGGAGTGGGGCGGGGGTTGGGGTAGGTGGAGTGGGGGAGCATTGGTGAGGAGTAGACTGCTGTGAGGTGGGGGAGGGTACAGGCAGGCAGACAGATTCAACTTGTGGTGTGCAGTCTGCTCCTGGGTTCAGCTGGGGGCTCTGAGAGTGTGCTGCACTCTGACAGCGCCACGACACCTCCCCCCCCCCCCCCCCAGCTCCTCCTCTGCCTTAAAGGGCCGGATCACATGGACTCAGCAGTTACCTCTCCGGAAAGGCCCTCATAAACAAACGTGGAGGTGTCTGCGAGCGCTGTCGCGGTCCGCCGCTCGTCTGCGAGCGCTATAGCGGTCCGCCGCTCGTCTGCGAGCCAGCGGGCTGTTTGATGCGGAAAAGGCCTAACTGGATGAGCCCGGCTCTGATGGCGACTGGTGTATGACAGCCCCTATCAGTCACACAGCATCAATACGCCGGTACCTTCAGTCGAACCCTTGCCCCGCCCCTGCACTGGGGGGTCACACCTCATAAAATGGGCTTTGCTTGAAATCCAGCCATTTCAAATCCCCGAATTATTTCGATATTGAATTTCCACAGATTGCTCCTCCAACCCCAAAATCTGTTTTGTATGCCTGTATAGCATTAATAATTACCATTCGCTGCATAAGTCACCGAACTGCGTGTTTGGCTTGTGCTTTTATTTCAGACAAGAGCAATGGATCATTCAACCTGAAAGCCTTATCTGGGAGTTCGGGGTACAAATTCGGAGTGCTGGCAAAAATCGTCAACTACATGAAGGTCAGTGAAAGGCCGGGTCCCATTCGTGTATCTGTGGTCCTTTTGGCTGTCAAATCTTATTGGTAGGTCACACTGTGACCATCGCTGGCCCGGCCTGCAAATTTGCCTGAAAGTAAAAATCGTATTTGGCAGCAAGTGCGATTTTCCCCCCCCCTCACCTCGGGCCCCGACCCCCGGCCGGCCCTCCTAACACCCCCGCCTGCCACCTGCACAGACACGGCACCAGCACGGCGACACGCACCATCTGACCCTGGAGGAGATACTGGACGAGACTAAGCTGCTGGATATCAGTGTGAAGCAGAAACAGTGGCTCGTGATCGAGGTGGGCTGGCCTAAATTTAACCCCCCCCCCCCCTGCGCCGCCCCCCCCCAGTGCTGCCTTCCAATGACGCATGTGTAGCTGATGCGTAATCCAAGCAATTGATTGTTTGGCCGTAATGCTTTCTTTCTTTTTTTTTCTCGTAGGCTGTATACCAAAGACACTTAGCTTGTAAACATTCTGTATGCGGCTGTCAGTGTCCATGCTAATAGGATAGTATCCAAATGTGGAACTCGTACCCCAGAGGTTATTGCTCCTGATGGAAGGCCCTCTTCCAAGCGCTTGACCTAAATTTCTTCATTATCATATCCAACCATATGCATGGATAACAACTGCTTTGAAACACTGGCCCGATCTGAGCAAGGGAATGTAAATCTAGCATATTTTTAAATGCACGATATCTCCACTAGGGGGGGCTAAAATGCTTTGTTTGTGATCCATGTCACTGCAATGGGGGGGGGGGGGGGATCATGGCTGAATTCACTGCTTTTTATTTTAGAGTCGTTAATGCGGATTTTTTTTTTCCTGAGAAGGTTTTTTTTGTTTACTTTGCCACAAGTTAGTTTCGTGTTGTTCAAACGTCAAGGAAATGAACGGGAAATTGCATTTTATTCAAAGATGCTTTTATTCAAGGTGCATTAGGCCCAGTTATTGTGCTAACCGAGCTAAGTTAGCAGTGTCTCTCAGTGCGGAGACAGCTGGTTAGTTCACCCCCCTCCCCCCCCCGGCCCTCCGTGTCTGCTTCTTGACGCAGGCCCTGGCCTGCAACCCCAAGATCGAGGTGCGTGATGGGAAGTACGGCTTCAAGCCCAAGCACCCGCTGAAGGACAAGAAGGCGCTGCTGCGTCTGCTGGACAAGCACGACCAGCTGGGCCTGGGGGGGCTGCTGCTGGAGGACGTGGAGGAGGGGCTGCCCAATGCGCACAAGGCCCTCAAGGTGCGTGTGCGCGATTGACGGCGGCCGGGGCCGCGCCCCCCCCCCTGCCCTGAGCTAAGGGCGTGCTTTCGGGCCCCCCCCCCCCAGGCCCTCGGTGACCAGATCATATTCGTGACGCGGCCCGACAAAAAGAAGATCCTGTTCTACAATGACAAGCACTGCCAGTTTGTCGTGGATGAAGGTGAGCGGCCGGCATTAAACTTATTTTACATACGCTTTTATCCAAAGCGGGGTCAGACAAGTCACTGGAGACATAGGGGTTAAAGGTCTTCCTCAAGGGCACAATGGTGACATCATTCTGCAAACCCTGGGATTTGAACCGGCGACCTTCTGACCCCAGATGCAGCATAACAGAAGAATAATACTTTCTACAGAACAATTTCTCTTGTAAGAGTGCCGGACTATAGGTGTCTGTTGTAAGGATTAGGCTGTAAAAAAATTAAAAGCTTCTGGTATTGCAAAGCAAGGCGGCCTATCTGTAAAGCAAGGCGGCCTCTCTGTAAAGCAAGGCGGCCTCTCTGTAAAGCAAGGCGGCCTCTCTGTAAAGCAAGGTGGCCTATCTGTAAAGCAAGGCGGTCTCGGTTGTGAGGAGCAGGATAGGTCTGCTCAGGTGCCTGATGCATGTTTGTCTGCCGGAAGAGCCCTTGGTGTGAGGTGTGGTGTGCAGGGTGTAGATTCACGGCGGAGCTGCATTTTCCCTGACAGAATTCCAGAAACTGTGGCGTAGCATTCCCGTGGACTGCATGGACGAGGAGAACATCGAGGATTACCTGAAGAGACAGGGCATCTCCTCCATGCAGGACACTGGACCAAAGAAACCGGTTTGTGCAACGACTGGGCTCTCTGGCACAAAAGGATTCATGAGTATTAAATGCGATTGCCCCAGATCTGCTCCCTTCGAGCGACTTGTAAACACCCCGATTCCTCATCGCAGATGCCGATACAGAAAAGGAAGAAGCCAGGCAGTCAGAAGAGGCGCTTCAAGACGCACAACGACCACCTCTCCGGGGTGCTGGAGGACTACTCTGAAGGGGTGCCCAAGAAATGACCCTGCAGAGCCAACGACAAGCAGCAGGGGGCGCTGTGTCTCAATAATGGACTTGTCTTTAACAGAGCCAAGGACAGTTGGTCTAAGCGAAATTTATCCAGGAATTTATTATTTCCACACAGTAAACCGGCAGTGCCAATTATCAGACACACAGAATGTTTATACGTGTAAATGTATTTTTTCCTTCATGCGTGTTCCTTAGACGCCAGGCTTTTATAGAGGCGTCAAGGTTAATTTTTTTGCAACAGCTTTTGAGCTTTTAGTTCAGGAGTATAAATGCAAGCTGGACTGTTTGATCATCTTTTAAAGATAAAGATCAGGAATATGGTGAATTGATTTTTTTTTTTTTTTTTTTAGCTTTTCATAAATAAAATTCCTGACCTCTGAATTTACCTGGGATTCAGAAGCAAATATTATTGATTTCTAGATACATAAATCCTCAGTGTCCTTGAGGTCCTAGCGAGAGGTTAAAAAACAGCAAAGGGGTAAAGCTTTAATCTCTGATTGGACACACTGTGCCCTTCTTATCCCTGCGTCTGTGGCCGATAGCAGTAGCCGATGAGTGGATTTTCCCGCTGGTCTGCTGTGCTGGTGTCCGGTGTGCCTTCCTCCGTCCGATCTTGGCCTCTCCCACCGCTTGCTGCTCCACTCTTTTCTCCCTGCCCAGACGAGCAGGGAGGCTCCGTGATACGTACGAAGGCGGGAGGTCCGTGATACGTACCTTTCTCCGACAAGCCGGTTGCCGTGGCGATTTGGGAACACCCCAGCACAATTTACAGGATGGGGAGGGGGGGGGGGGGAGAGATGGGGCGGGGCCTGCTGTAAGTCCCATCCAGATAATGACCAGAGGAGCCTCTGTGCAACATGATCCGCTCCCCCCACCCACGGTGCGTTGGCGCTGAAAGCCCCAGACCCTGGGGTCGCGGTCACACGATACGGCTGGCTGAATACACGCCGGTGCCCCAGTTGTCAGGGCAGTTGCCATGACCTCGATTCCCTGCAAGGTCGCCATGACGATCAATAAAACGTGCCTGGCGGGGTTTTACTGTGCCGGACAGAAATCAGTGTTGTTTTTTTTTTGCACCTCTGTGAGTCCCGATTCCATGACATGACAGTAGCTACATCCTTGGAATATAACGAGGGCTTGCAGTCCCCAGACGAGACGGAACAACAGAACACACGGAGAAGCCTTAATATAGGGCGAGACTTTTCTGATCGTCTGGCGCTGCCCCTAGTGGACAGCTGATGTCACTGCGACTAGCAGAGTCCAGTGCACCAAATTAAGATGGCAGCTTTCTGTGCCTCCAGGGGTGGGCTGGGAGAAGTGCATCAGTCAGATTTACTCTCCTACAGCACGTAGTGGGTGGGCTCTTTGGAGAGAGAAGCTACAGGAAACCCTGGATATGCGCCCTAGGGTCATCCGCATAGGCAGCTGTCGCTGGGTGGGCCGACGCCCTTTGGGGGGGGCATACATGACCCCAAAAAAAGAGAAAATTCATCTGCAATTAAACTGGAGTGATTTTTGAAGCACCTTCCCTCTGAGATAGTTTTCAATCGAACCTGTTACAATATGTCCTCCATCCCCAGCTATGGAGGGCCAAGCCTGATTGCCAGAACAGTCCCCTTTCCTCAGGAAGAAGAAAACACTCGAGGCCAAAGGACACCAGTAACCACGACGACCCCTTATAAGCTACTGCAACTGGCATCTTTATTTGGTTTAGATGATTAAAAAACACGCCCATGTTATACAGACCCAATCATGACCTCTCTAATTTGGCTGCTTTGAGTAGCTGGAGACTTTACTGCTTAAAAAAAAAATCTGGACATACACATGACAAACGATCGTTTCTTAATTTACAGGAAACTGTTCCATCCATCCACCTTCCGGTCACAGCCCCAATGAGCCCCATCAGTAACAAATTAGGATTCAGTTCTAACAGCTCTATGTACAGATTTCTTGACTTGATCATTATAGCTGTAGTAAAAGGTTTTAAGTTGGCAGATCTAATTCATATGCAGTTTATAATAGCTTTCTTATTCCGGCAAAGTTGTTTGATGGCGCTCCACGAAACGTATGTGCTGCGACTGCCTCGAGTCCGTGTGAGGAGTCAGAGCAGCTTCACGGGAGTTTGTTTTGGCAGCTGATCTGAGTCCTTATTAATTATGGAACAAATAAAATGAAGATTTGCTTGGGAGTTCAAGTCTAAAAATACACAAGTTATTTTAAGGTCTGCGCACACCGACGTGTGAGGTACAGCGACTTAAGAGAGATGGGAAAGGCACGCCTCATGAAGGAATTGAATATTTTGCCCCCCGTGATGGTAAAACAATGATTTCCACTAAAGGGCTATCTGGCTGTGTAGAGACTGCAAGGCTTTCGTCTGGTGATGCCCGTTTGACCAGAAGGGCCGCACCGGGCCACATGCTCACCGGGGCCGGCCAAAACCTCCACAGGCGCAGACCGCCTCAACTAACCACCTGCAGATAAGATGGATAATTCCGGCATCCATAAATCTGTCAGCCAAAAGGAGATCCACCATGCCAATGACTTGACGTTTCCAAATCAGGTTACTCTTGGGGGGGAACAGTTTAAATGGCTTGTGAGTTGACAGGTTGTGGACCCAGTCCTGTCCGGTCCTTGCCCGCCCAAGATGGGGTCCTCGATCCTCCAATAACACAATGAAAGTCCCGTATCGTAAAATTGTACAGGTGGTCACTGGCCGTGGCTCCCATCTCGCAGACGTGTTCCCGAACGTCGTCCCAGTCCGTTCTTCTGGAAACGTACCTCCTGCCATTTGCCTGCTGGCTTCCCAAGCGACCCCTGGACACCCTGGGTGGTCATTTCCAGGTTTGCGGTACGGGATCCGCACCCGGGCGTAGCTGAATAACGCTGGATCAGGATGCCCGTCAGTCTCGTGCGTGCGAGTCGATCCCCTTTCCACTGACGTTAACGTGACTCAGTAACTGCTCTCCCGTTGTAGGGGACGTTTAAATATGGGGTCGATTACAACACGACGAAAATCTCAGTTTCATACAAAAATACCTTTTGCTTTTGTTTGTTCTCTTCAAAATGTCCTAAAATGTACAGCATTGTTTTGGCAAAATTATGCTTCGAGTGATATTTTAATAGTAGTTCTAATAACAACAACAATAGTTATAATAACAATAATAATCTTTCAGCATGTAACGGTATAAAAGGGGCAGGGGGTACAGGCATTCTCGGGGGGAGGGGGAGGGGGGGGGAGATGTGTGATAGAGGTCTTGAAGGTCCTGAACTCCAGAGAGCGACCCGTTGCCTGCAAGAACCATGCAGAGAGGTTACCATGGAAACCGCACCTGGGCCCTGTCGCAGCTAATCGACACGCCGGGGGCACGAGGTAACAGGTTCTGCAGCCGCAGACGGCTGCGCGCTTCGAGTCGACTGGTGGCTGCCTGCCTTCGCCTCTTTCCGTGGCTCAGCAAAGGCATGTAAGAACCCAGTTTACGAGATCGAATGTGACACGAGCACATTCTTCCTGTTATCTGGTACTTGTTTTTCAGTTAGAATGATTATAAAAATTCAGAATCATGCATCTGGATACATAACTCAGTTATGAGTGTCATATATTGGACATCAATGACTATTACAGTGTCACTACAGGATCAACCATGAATTTGAGTCAACTGTGTTAACCTATTAAAGTATTACATGATTCAGTTAACAAAGGACTTTAAAGCATCTTCTAACCCTGTACCCTTAATTATAGACAGTAAAGTCTCATCTCATGTATTTATAAAAAGAACTGAACATATACTTTTTTTTGTACTCAGCTTGCTTTTAGTTAGCCTTCAGTTTATTTTTTTACTTGTCAATAAGTTTTTAGTTTGTTTTTGAATTCGGCTTTCAACGCTGACGCATGCGTGACTCTCATCCATGGTTGACTCAGGTCCTGTAGTGACAGACTGATCAGACTAAAAACCGTAGCCTCGTACTGGAACCAAAAGAACGAGATGCCAGACGCGCAAACTTACCAACAGTATTGTCAGCTGGGTCAGATATCCTCCCAGTTTGGCTTCAGATCAACACCATCAAGACCAGCTGCTGTCACCATCACACATCAGGACCCTAGAGAGTAGCCGTGGGGCGATACGCTCAGAAGCCGGCCACACCCCCTGCTCCCCTCCGGGGTCGGCCCAACCGCTACCGACGTGTCCGATTTCACAACATCAGTGGTTATCGACGGCGGTGAGGGATTTCGGTGGAGCCCAGAGGGCCTCTCAGGGAGGGGCAAGCCAGAGCATGCTGGGTAGGCTTCTCCTGTTCAATATTCACCCCCACAAGAGATTCTCTCGCTGCCAGAACATTAGGAGATTTCATCCCAACTGACAGTGTGCAGCTCTATGGTCAGAAACGGCGGTTACTTTGGGGATGAATTAATTCCAGCAGCAGGTACTAATATATATAGTAAATAATATTACTATAATCAGTCATAGAGGTACCATCATTATGCACATAATTTTTATAAATTAATTTAACATTTAATATAACTAAGATACTTAAATCTCATCTCTAACCATTTTGATGACCTGGCGTCTTCTGCAGGATAAATCCGACCAGTCGTTCCTCTTTTTGAGATCAATAGCAATATGGTCATTCATACCCTCAACAGAATGTTCCTTTAATAAAGGACGAGGCATCACAAATGTAGATATGCCTCATAACTATGAGGTCACGCCTTCCATTCTCAATTCTTAATTTTGGAAGGGACAGGGATCCTGGGAGATTGTGAGTGTGGGGAGTCCCTTGGCGTATGTCACTTGGTCACAAAAGCAGCCCAGGACACAAGAGGTGAAAAACAGCTACTGGCAAACAATGCTTTGAGGCTATTAAGTTTCAGCACGTGCTGCCCAGTAGAGTTTTGTAGGTAAATGACGGAATTGAAGATAACAGAACCAGGGAAATATTAACATCTGAAGAGAACAGCTAAAATTGTTTATTCAAACAAATTACCCGACATTAACCGCAAAACATCCAGTTATGTTAATTACAAAAAACGATGAATCTGTACTTTCTTTTTAACAGTTTTAGTAAAAAATAATGCGCTGAGAAAATAAATCATTCCTGCGTTAGCTGCAATAAGCTAGGTAGCGGATGAATCTTTCCACAATGCACATCTGCCTGCCTGCCGGGATGCAAATAACAGTTGCTATAACTGCAATTCACACCCTGTAATGGAGTCGCACCTCGCGGGCACTCGATGTGTCACCGAAGCCAGCCACAAACCCCCGGCCGAATATTCCCTCATCTCGTTAACGGGTATCTCCAAGTTTTAGCTAGCCGATGACAAAAGCTCATGGCGCAGCCATCGTCAGTACATCTGTACATCTGTCAGTGCTAATAAAGTCTACTTCTGTTGGTTAAGTTAGCTAGCTGAGGCTTATGGGCTTTAAAGTGCAATGATTGACGGCAAAAAAGAAATACCAATAACGATGGTCAGCGAAGACGAGCCTGCTATCGCACCACGTTCACTGCCGACTTGGCACGCTCGTTTGCCGTGACTTAACCGAAGAGCGCGGCGGCCCTAAACAATTGGTCCGACCATGTGGTAATGTGCTGTTATCTCTCAGGAGAGATGCATGAAAAACAGCTTTGATCATGAGATGGTAGTGGGGCAGGGAGGGGCGAGGATGACCACAGGAAAGACCCCCGCATTCTTGAAAGAAATGTGATTATTTGGTAAAGCCTCCACAGCTTTCTGCTCTCATCCAAAAACGGCTTCCTTGCCGCCCCCGTGGGACTTTTAATCAGACCGAAACGGAGACCCATTTGTTGTTAACCCTTAATGTCCGTTTCCTTCACTCCTTCCCTGATGAGAATAGCCCGTCACAGAGCTACAGAGGAACTCTTAACAATTTGGCTAATCTTCCCCATCTGGGATGCTCGCCCGTGGAATCCCAGTCCCGCCAATCCTTGACGCTATGACACTCAGAGAGCTGCAGAAATTACCAGCAAAGCCCTGATCATGGAGAAGAGATATTCTGTGATACAGGGCCAACAAATGGATAAGGCAGAGTGTGGGCAAAGGACGAGCAAAGGTAGCTAAAATGCAAACACCATGCCAGACCATGCAAGGGCCGCGTCAAGCTGAACTGCTGATGAGGGTATATGCCTAAAAAATCTAATTCAAGATTCCCGTTATCCAGTCCAACAGATAGCTGTCTCTCTATACAAGAAATATAACAAAATAATAAAAAGCTAGCTTGTACAGGCCTACACTTGAGAAATCGGGTTTGTAATTGGGAGAGACACTTGAAAAGCTCTGCACCATCTAGCACATGTCTAGTAACAGCAAAAATTGTGAAAGAGTTTAACAAATGTAAAATGTGTCACGTTTGTTGGCTGGAGTTAGAGTATTAGCAAGAAGCTAACCACGTACAATCACATTATATTTATTGTTGCTTGTTTTGTTAGAAACCTGTTCAGTGTTGTCGTACGAACCACAGTAAAACTACGTAAAAAAAAAACGACAAAATGGTAAGGGGTGTTTTAGAAAGTGTGGGCTTGTTAAGGGCGCAGAATTGACAAGCGGAGTGTTTATTTTCTGCGGAGCGATCTGGCACCGAACACTCACCCCAATTTCAGCAGAACTGCCTCGATTTCCATCCCTGGGGGGCGGCATCGGCGGGAGGGATCCAGCGAATCTACACGAGCGCGGAAAGACACAAACAGAAGGTGGGGGGGGAACAGCCACTGAGTCACCTGGCTGAGGACCAGTGATCCTTGTGGCCCTGTCCCCCCAGCTGTGTCTGGGAAGGGGGGGGGGTGCCCAGCAAGCCAAAACACCTCTTGAAACAACCCCCACAGTCAAACAAGAGGCTTGCCCCCACCCCGCACTACACAAGTGAACAAAGGGACATTCAGTCACCTGTGTCGATCCACACACTGTTTATTCAATGGTAGTCCAGGGGCTAACACAAATCACGCTTCCATTTAAAGGCAAAACCTCTGCCATCTTATCAAGTTTGCCACTGATTCCCCCTGTGGAAGTGTCACATTAAATTAACTTAAGAGCACAACTGTACGTGACGGGCAGTGCTTTACCCAGAATCCTCGGCGTGTGTGGCTTAGCGTTAAAATGAACCCGAAGCACCTGAATAAACGGTGACTAAAGACGAAACGGCCCTGTAGCAGCAAACGCGGTGGGTCTGGCGGTGTGCTGCTCTAGGGCTGGCGGCTAAACGTGCGTAGCTTACACCAGCCGTGACGCACGGACCAGGAAAAAATTTGAATTTGGCAGCACAGATGGGGTCCAGTGCTGTGATACGGAGTTGGGCCTCAACATTCCCTGAAGGATGGGGCTTTAACTGTAAATGTTCAAAAAAAAAAAATCTGTCCTATTTGGCCCATTTACAACAAAAAAAAAAGTTAAATAAAAAAGCCTTAGGGTGAGCTAAGCTTTTGATTGGGTGGGTCCGGCTGACCCAGCCCCTCCCCCTTCGGGGAGACGGGCCTGGTGAAGCAGCCTTCGTCTGACCTTAGCAGAATGCCGAACGAGGAGCTTCAGAGACTCGTGGGGCTTACAGAAGAGAACATGGCTTCAGTCCACGAAAGTTTCTCTCAGAGAAAGCCGAGTTTTCTATGAAGTGTCTTATGAAAAGGGGAGACATATTTTAACATGTAATTTCTGTAAACACCCAAAAAAGAGGGGGGGGATCTAGGTGCTAGTCACAGGACATCCTACAGGTGGCGTGGTGGAGCTGACAGGGAAGGAGGTGGCAGCAGGGCATGGCGGAGAGGACCTGTTGGGGTGCCGGTGGGTGTTTGGCAGGGCGTGGGGGGGGGGTTACCTGAGCGTGCAGAGAAGAGGGGTAGGTGAAAGCAGGAGGAAGGGCGGGTGACAGCTCTCCAGGGTACAGGGGGTAGGGGGTCCACACGTCAGGGCTGCCGGGGTAAAGCGCAGGGACCGTGAGTTCGTCTGCAAAACAAGTAGAGGAGGGGGCAGGACCCCGGGACAGCGTCACCTTTCTGCTCGCCTGGGGACAGTCAGGCCAGCACTTCAGAGGCCTGAATGGAGAGAGACCTTCCTCATGGGAATGGCGTGTCGCTCAGTGAGTTAGGACGCTGGGCCGTAAATCAGAGGGTCACTGGTTCGAATCCCAGGCTGGCGTAGTGATTTCACTGTTGGGCCCTTGAGCGAGGGCCTTAACATGCAATTACTATCTGACCCTGTCGCTTTGGATAAAATTGCCATGTAAGAAATGTAAGATTCTCGGTGAACAGAGTAGATGGGCATAAAGCAGCTGAAGAGGCTCTGAAGTCTTCAAGAAGCCAGTGAAGAAATTAATTATCGGGACAAACGTCTCCATGGGGGTTCCCTCACGGCGCGCTGACGGACGGCCAACCGTCCCGGGGCTCGTTCGTATAAAATGCGCAGCCGACGTCTCGACGCACCGGCGAGCCGCTTAATTAGGAATCCGCACATTTCCCAATTATCCACTCCCGTTACGGCTCGGCGGAAAAGCGTGATCTGAGAGCTGGAGGCCGACTGAGACCTCCGGGGAAGGAGGCACGCTAGGGCGAGCCGAGGCGTGAGCGGAGATGTGAGCCCCCCGCCGCCCGCTGGCTGCCTTTTGTCACATCCCCTTCCCGGTGCTTTTCATCGACAACTCGACATCGTCGAAATAACCTTCAGAAAAGCAGCAGATGGACGCATCTCGACACCAGACATCTGTGCTGTGTCCGCGTTCTCCATTAACGTGCCCCATAGCATGGCTGCTATCTCATGCTAACTTCCTGCCCGGGATCTCCACTTCCTGCCCAGGTACACCATTTTGGTTGGGGTTACCGCCTACAGTCCAATCACGGCTACACCAAGGATGAATCGAATGCTAGCGTTAGCCAAATGCATGTGACCATATGGCCCACTATCACCAGGCCTGTAACACATCACCAAAACATGTAGTACCCAGAAAGGAACAGGGTAGCATGCTACCAGCATCGGGATTATGCATTATGCTTATCAGGGACAAGCATTTTATTACGTTTGAACAGCTGCGCTATCAGAAAATTGCCGTTCCTCGACGCGAAGCTGCCATCATGTCATCATGGCTCTGGCTAATTACTTCCTTACATCCATCTGAAGAAGGTCCTGAGCTTGGTGAGAGCCTCCTGCCAGAAGCTCATTACGTAGCGCACAAGTACACAACTATGTGCTTCCACCGTAGAATATCCTGTGCCTATCTATAATCAGCTTTACACTGTTTACTCAACACTTACTATAATATTTATCTGCAAGGTAAACATGGCACAGTGTGGGGCAGGCAGATCCCATACTAACACGCTCCAGGTTTGTCTCATAAACATACTGAAATAAATACTTGATTTACTCGACATTTTGGGAAACAGAGTCAGTGTAGGTTTTTCAGAGCGCAGAGAAACTTTGAGAAAACAGCCCAGTAAATATGGTCACTCCTCACACAGGGCCATTCTCAGAAAATCATCATTTTACTCGTACAACTTTCATGTCTATTTTATGAAATAAAAGTGCCAAAACTGTTAATTAAGATACCACAGTTAATTAAGGTATTGTTAAGCTGGGTTTACAATCACTAACAATCGGTATCAGGAACAAGAATACATTTAAAACTGATTTTTGCATTAAAATTGGGATGTTCGTGAAAAGCAAAGAGAAAATGTAATGAAATCCAAGCCTCAGTTCGCAGGAAAATCGTGAATAATATGAATAATATACAAGCACATGAACGTGGCTTTTGCCCCCTGAAACTGGATGTCACACCAGCGGCTCAGCGAGCTGGAAGAGAATTTCCTGGGGAAAAGTGCATCTATATTTAAAAAACCAAGCTGTCTTCTCCTGGGAATAAAATATTTTAGCCCAAAATAACTTCCAGATGTTTCTCCTGACATCCAGTGATATTCATCGGTAGAGACAAACAATGGTAACACTTCACTTAAGGGGACACAAATAACATAGTTACTCAGTTACTACTCAAGAACAAATCATGAACTAACATAGATCCTGCATGAAATACATTATTAATTAATAATGAACAAATGAGGGATCAGTACATAACTAACACTTAGTTACATGTTAATTAATACATTAAGTAATAGTGTACTACTATATTATTTGCACCCTCAAAATGCTACCCAAACAGATATTTCATAAAACCAGCTGCTATAGGACAGAAGCAATTTGTAATTTATTGCTTTTGTTTTTCTGTAGTCAACATTGATTTCATGTCAATACAAATCCACTAAAACTAATGTTAAAAAACTACCAGGGTCACTAAAAATTAAAGCTTCTTCTTAATCAATAAATGTTTGAAAGGTTTGAAAGTTGTTAAAATCATTTCTCATACAGGTTGTCCCCAGGTTACGAACAAGATCCGTTTCCTTAAGTCTGTCTTAATGCAAATTCGTAGATCAGTCAGAACAATAACACAATACATAATAATAACAATAATAATGTAATTATAATAAAAGTAAGTACATACGGTACTGTACTGAACAGCTGGAGCCGAGTGTCACAATGTCGTGTTAGTGTTCGTTATTACGAACTATCGTATTTCATCAGAATTTTTAATATAACGTGATTTACGGCAGTCAGTTCGTTAACAGTAAGTTGGGTGTTTTTAGCCTGGGCACTCCCTGTATTTAATTTCACTATTTTCTGTTTAATAATAACTTCATCTGTTTTTACATGCCTTGGCTACAGTACGGCGTTGGATAAAGTCAAGGCCTTACTCACTAACTGTGGCAGGGCTCCATAAATAGAAGCATACACACAATCTTCCTTTATCAAATATCAAAGGATCAAATGTATGATAATGAGAGAAAGAGCCTAATCAGAGACATTTAATACCCTGCCGAAAAGAAGGATTACTCCTGGCTTGAACAGGCTGAAATGAACATCGGTGTAAAATCAGAAGCATAATAGCGTTTACCATTATATTCACTCTTTCCTAACCAAGCTAAATCAATTCTCTCAACCCCGAAATGACAACATTTCTTTTTGGTTTAGGTAAGTAAATATCTGCTACAAAAATAAATAAATAAAAATCACAGGTAATACTTTACTAGAGGGGGGTACAAAATATAGCAGTACACTCTTACTTAAAGCATTAATTATCCAGAAGCTATGTGTTATTAATGTTTGCTCATCATGCACCCTGTACTTTGCTCATCATCCATCATGCACTTGAGTAGTAGCTGAGTAACAAAGTTACATGTGCTGCCTCAGTATATCTGCAGGAAGCTATGATTTTGCCATATCCTAAGGTATTTTTCTCCTTATTGAATAACAAATTAGAACTTCCAGCAGTTTTTAATTCTTTTATAACATTGGGGATTTGCTACATATTTGCCAGATTAAGATTTAAACCATGTTGATCCTCTAGAAATGATCTATGTCCTTTCTATGCTCGTGGGAGTTTTACTTGCACAAAAATATTCTGAGGGCAGAATGAAATAGTGGTTCTGAGAGAGAACCAATTAGATTGTAGAGCAAGTGGGTCCAAGCATCTAGAGGAGGCCGGACCAACCAATCAGATGTCTTGATCCTGCCTCTTCTAGTTGCTTGGACCCACCACCTCTACAATCTAATTGGTTCTCTCTTTTTTCGTTCTGCCCTCAGAACATTTTTGTGAACGTAAAACTCCCACAAGCCTTTTTTTTTTTTATATGTTTCAGGTGTATTTTATAAATTGATGTTAATGTGGGCAGAGAAATTTCAGTTTCAGCTATTTACCAAGCATTCCATTCACATCAAATTTAATTCACCTTCATCAAACACCTGCACGCTTAAGACTTTCTAGGATCCAACAGCTCACCCCATCTCACCCCATCCCACCCCCCGAAGAGAAGGGTCACCCCACCAGCAGAGGTGGTTCTGGAACCTTGATGCTGGTACTCACAGGGGTCTCTGCTGATGAACGGGGGCCCAGTGCTCTGCTGGGACAGGGGGGGATTGGGCGTGCCCACCAACTTGTTCTTGGCCATCTTGGTGTTGGCCTTAGCAAACTCCAGCCTCAAGGTCTGGGGGATTTCTGGGTCGAACCGGACACCCTGCAGGCAAGAGGGATAGATGAAGGCAGCGGCAGTCAGCCGTATGACTCTGCCCTTCTTTGATAATCATTCGCGGTCAGGGTGACCTTATCTCCAAAGTGCATGGGATTAGGTGGATCATTCCCGGCATGCTGTCTCCAGGGGCAACTCAGTCCCTGATTCACATGAATGGCATTTCTCAAGATTGCGAGAATAACCCGGAAAAAGCCAACAGCGCGCAAACTCCACACGCTAAATTTACGCAAAGATAGCCTTAGGTTAGACTTTAATCCATATCTTGGGGCCAACAGGCCACAATGTATCCTGCTATAACACACTGGTAGATGTTAAACCACAACTCCACAAACCATAACCCCACAAATGTACAAATAATAAATGAGATTTGAGCATAGGGGTATATTCTTGCGCATACAGCAGGAAGGATACGCATAGCACAGACGAGCGTGAAAATTACGCAATATAAAGTGCAAAGACATTATACATAGTACAAATAAAGTACACAGTAAATGAATATAAACCTGAAAAACAGATTATGGAATATTAAGAGAAATAAACAAACGCTACTATATTTTCCAGGCTAAATTTCCTTTCCTTAATTAATCACGTGATATAAGCCTTTGCTTATGACACTTCAGGCTGATATAAGTTACTTATTAGCCGTTAAAAGCTTGGGCAAGCAAATGAATAAAGAGCAGCCAGGGCTTAGCGAAACAGCTGCGTCTCTTTCCGTTGGTTTACATTATCTGTCGGCGGCTGGCAGGGGCTGTTTCCCTAAGATCTCCGGGGTTCTTCCTTGTGCTTCTACACGAGCGATCCGCTGCTGGAATGCAGCCTCTCGATTTATTTACATTTTGACGTGCTTGTCTGGAGTGGAAGCATCCTACCACTTGTTTGCAAACATGGAAATGCAACAGAATCCCAAAAACATTTGTCATGATTACGCAAGATGCCCCTTTTTAATTTTAACAGGAAATGTACCCCTGTCAACACAGCTTGGAGAGTATCTCCCCAACTCCCTATTTAGGTCTAAGGGACCCCCCACACACACACACATCCCCAGAGTGATTTAAGAGCAACACAAAATCAGAAAATACTTCTATCTACAAAGTCAACCAAAATACCGCTGTATTACTTTAAAAAAACACCTTCCTGAAAATCCATATGTAATTAATATATACATGTTTATAATATAAATATCTCTATACAGATTCAAAGATGAAGTGTGTCGACTGTATGAGATTTGTACAAAACATGTCACAGGTGTAGTATACAAAGATGCTATAAAAATGATATTCTTTACTGAACTATATCGCTCTTCTGATCAAGCCCAGTGAACAACAACTTGTCCTACTTCCCTTTTCGAAAATCGTAGCCAGGAAAGTGGATCTGGAGGCAAGCACAAAAGCTGGCTGCTGTGTGGGGAAGTTAGGAGTTTTGAAAAGGCGATTCCCGTCACCCAATTGTCGTACATGAATAGGAATTCATGTTAAACCCATTTGAACATTATCACTCAAGAACCTGAGAGATTTTGTGAAGCGGGAAATGGCAGCAGCGAGTGTGGATCTGGGAGGGGCAAAAACCGGAGCTTTGCTTTTGGGGGGGGGGGGGGGGAGAAGGTTAGGTCTCAACATCTTGCAGCTCTTCAGATCAGGCAATCCCTGAGCATTTCCTCCCTGCACTTGGATGTAATATGACACTCATGCCCTCAAACAAAAAAAACGGCGCACTGATGTACCGCTGGAGGTCACTGAAGGGTCAACCCAAAAGGGCCGACTGACTCCTAAACAAGAGGCGGGACTGGGAATCTCAACCGGGGACTGAACTTCAGAGCTCACTTTGATCACATCAGGATGACAGCATGCCATTCCCACCAAATGCTTTTGGGGCTGGGCCCATGAATCCTTCCGCAGATCTATGGGTGTGGAGTTCCTTCTCACCTGGAGTGCTAGAACTCACAGGGACCTCAGACCAGTCCTGAAAGGCCGTGTTTCTCTGAATCTACGAGCTTTAGAACATCTTAAAATGCCCATTCAGCCAAAAGCATCTATGCTGATAACCATCAAGAACCTCAAACCGAAATTAGCTGGGAAAAATACCATAATAGACGAGCCGGTTCAATAATAACGACAATCGACGTTCAGCATTTGATGCTCACCAAACAGATTTGCCCCAAGAATTCACTTTTCTCCCCCCCAAACCCCCCCCCCGGTACTGAAGGACATGGTGCCAAAGAGTTTGCCCACAGATAAACACAAACCACAGTTTAGGTAAGCATATCATTTTTGCAATGTTTCGTATCCAAAATGTCATCCCAGGCATAGGTAATAATCTGTCTAGAACCCTCCCTGGGGAGGTGCGGTTTGTGCCAGTTACGTGCGGTGGAAGTGCTGATTAGCATCTCAGCCTCGACTCCTCGGAAAGAATGCTTTTCAAATCCATGCTAAATGAATGCAGGGTCTGTCGCCTTTAGTGATGGACAACAACGGCATTATGAAGATAACTCAAATGCACTGGATTTACTCGCCGCGAACAGTACGTGAAGGATGAACGTGGAAAATAAACAGCTACTCGTGTTAAAGGCAGTTGCTATCAATATCCTACAATAAACCTTAAATGTTCGTTTTTGAACTAGGATATTTGATATGCCAAAAATAAGTGCTTAAAAATAACATCTAAAGCTGCACAGTAAAACAAAGCCATTTCTCACCTTATGTAGAATTATGTAGTTTTAAATAAATAATAAAAAAAAGAGTCTGCCTTTAGATTTAAGAGAGAGTCACTTTCTGGTGGATAACCTTCTTAAAGTAGCAGAATTCTTGATTGTTGGTTAATCAGCATTGCGGGTTATTAAAAGCTGCATTGCATTAAACAGGGGCTGTCCATCAACGAACATACCTTTTGTGTATGACAGTAATATATTTAAACACGATCGGGGGATGTGGGTACGTCTGTACCGCACTACGCCAGTGCCTGGCAGCTCCCGTTCCTGCCCGAGCCTGCGCTGGACATACCGCGACGCTAAGCGAAGCGCTTCAGTGATGCGGAGGGCTGACGAGCCAACAGCCGGCCCAGGTGACGGCAAATACAAACTCTTTCGGTCTCCCCAGTGCGACGTGACAATGGCATCTCACAAACACAGCGGAACAAAATCGCGTCTGTGACGCAGTTGTTTAGATTCCTGCTGGGCAGTGTTTTAAAATCATATTTTTCCATTTACTGGGTTTGACGCTCTTAGTGATGTCGTGTCAGCTGACATGAGCCCCCCCCACATGTTCAATGACGTCCTTTGCAGCCAGACAAACACCGTCCCCCCCCCCCCCCGGGCTGTCGGAGCTGAGCACCCCAGCGGGCTTCGTGACAGCGATGGAGGAGAGCGGACTCACGTTCAGAGCATTCTTCGCCGCTTCGGCCTCGGATCGGCTGTCAAAGCTGACGAATCCAACAGGCTAGAGAGAGGGAGGGAGAGAACAAAATTAAAGTAGTGGGGGTTCGAATCCCAAATCCCCTCAAGGTGTGCGGAGTTTGCACGTTTTCCTCATGTCATGCCGGTTTCCTGTGGGTACTCTGGTTCTCAAAGACATGCAGTTACACTAATTTACATCTCTCAGTTGCCTGTGGTGTGGGCCCAGGTGCATCTCAGCTTTGCACCCTGTGCATTCTGGGATATTCTCCAGACCCCTTGTGACCCTGACCAGAACAAGCAGTGTTGGGTTTCATTTTATTTTTAACAACTGTGAGGAGTCACTGGTTCCATTGTTCAAAAATAGAAAATAGTGACAAGGAATGGGGTTTAATAACATGGAAAAAAAAACCCTGAAACATTTGAAAATATAAAATTTTGAGAGAACTGAGCAAAAAAAGATCCACGTCAGAGAAAATGTATGAGGCAATGACGATTACGCAATGTTAGGGCACACAGTGACTCTACGACCATTCTGGGCATTACAGGGGGTGAGCACTTACTGGTAGGGTGTAGATATGAGCGACCAGAAAATTACTGTAGACGCCCCCTTGTTGTGTGTGGTTCCCAGGGATACAGGCTGGGATACAGCCCCCCCCCAAGATGACCCTACATGCCGACAGGAGGCATTTGTGGCATGAAAGCAATTTCAGAAGGAAAACAAATGATCCACGTGAAGAGAGGGTTAGCTGGCTGTAAATGATCAGGAAGTGCCAAAGGAAGAATCTCTGGAATTCATAAAGGTTAAAAACATGGTTAAACACGGTTAAAAAATCCTTTCCGAAATCGAATGCAGTTTAATTAGTGCTATGCCGGATTTGTATAACTCAGAATGATAGCAGCCGGAACGCATCTAGTTTCCTTCTGCGTAACTTAACTTTTGTGTTTCATGTATTGTGGTATCTTCTAGAAAACTATCCGAGGGCTGCGGCCCAAATCTGCACGGGAGAGAGGCACCCAAGTGAACCGCCTCTTCTCTGGAGCTAATCTCATTACCCCTGGACGACCCCGGTGTGCCGTCGAGGGAGGATTTCACTGCCGAATTCCCTCCGAGAGGCTGCGTTAATTAGGAGACCTAACTCGACTCTCACAGCAGCAGCTGCAACGTTTGATACACAGATCCAATCAGAAGAGCAACGTTCATCATAAAACTATGCAGGAAAATATATTAAATATTACATATACAGGGACTGGCTGACCCTAAACTCGCTATATAAAACCATCTGTGAAATAAATGTAAATATTACATTTATGATTCATAAATTTACATGTATATATATATATATATATATATATATATATATATTTTTTTTTTTTTAAGTAACATAAAACATCCCTATGGATGCATTCTTGACAGCTCAGGCTCCAGCTCCCTTCCAGAACCTGCATAACTTGGAGGAACATTGAGGTCCAGTTCCCACGGGGCAGGTCTGTGTGGTTCATTCACCCGGTCATCTCCTGACCTTCATGGTTACGCTTCTCCTCAGAGCAGCACGTGTCACACTCAAGGGGGACACGGTGGCTGGGGGGGTGGAGTAGCTCTGGCCGTCAGTACACTAAAGGCCACGGAAACGCCAAATCCCTCCTTCATAAGTACGCTGTGGAGTCGCCTTGTCTAATTACTGCTGGGTTTCGCCATCTGTGTCACAAACGGACTTTAACTGTTACTTATAAAACGTTGCAATCTAGTCCGGCACAGAAATTGTGCAACAAACATTTTCTTTTACAAAAATATTTACTTTAACGCATGAAGGTAGGACATTATTTGAATTACGCAGCCTGTGCCTTCGTTTTCCAGAACAATCCGTTTCGGGAGTGTTGGCTCATCTTACCTTCTCATTAGCTTCACTGACATATCAGGTCTGTCAGCGCATTCGTCTGTCGTCTATTTTTGGTCAGTTTCTTGTCGACCCGTTACATCCCACCTATCATTTCTTTTCCTCAAATTACAAGAATTGATTAACTACACTCCTGTCTGGTTATCGATTGTTTAAGCATCTCAGGATCGCGCAGATTAATTCGTTTGCTGTGTGACGGCAAGAAGTAGCTCTCAGTTGTAGGTCCTCTGCGTGCTCCTTTGACATTGTGGTCAGGACAGACAACACCCATGGTATTGTGCTTACCTGCTTAGAAGTGAGTTTGATCAGGGAACCTTCATATCCCTGGAGGAGATTCAGCAGTAAACACAGAGTTCAGTGACAGAATTCAGTAGCAGATAGGAAGACTTATCTAAATAAAATTAAGCAAGCTGTCAACTCTGATTTTCATAAGTCCCAGTGCCATCTGTAAACTGAAAACATTTATTGTTCATTTATAAGGGATAATAATAGAAAACTGTTACTATGTGTCCAGAAAGCAACCCAAGGTTCTAAATGAGGCATACTCATTGCCAGAAGCAATACTGTTCCTGTATTCACCATTTCACTAGCAGTTACATTTACTTGCACAGCCAACTAGCACTAATGAAAGACATTTATAACAAATACTTGGCTGTACTAACCGAATATGCAATTAAAAAAACTTTACTTCACTTTTAAAACATAGGAATTTTTATATTGATCTAGTTCTGCAATTCATTAGGGCCGCAGCGCTGAATCTTTTAATTGCTTCCAGAGGTGGATAGTTCAGGTCCAGAAAGTAAAAATCCAGTCCGAGATTTTATTTCAACCAACCATTTGAGTTCTCTGCAACTGTGACCAGTTGAGTATAAAGTGTCAGAGTCACAGAGAACTCAAGTGATTGGTTGAAACAAAATCTTGGTCTGGACTTGTACTTTGTGGACCTGATGTGTCCACCTCTGATTGCTTCAATGTGACCGACCTGGTCCAACTCCAAAAATAAAAAGACGACGGTGTGTGGATGAGTCCTGCAGACGGAAGGCCTACCTTAAATGGTCGGAAGAGGAGATAAAGCTCTCGAGGTTTGATGTCAAGTGGCAAGCCACTGACAAACAGCGTTTTGACCTAGAAGGAGAAAACAAAAAGAGTGTTTTGAAACATGGGATGGAGATACCAAGCAGGTTCCTATGGAAACACCATAAGCCACTATCTTAGAGGTCTAGACAGCTCAATAGTACTGAAAGGTATCGGTATGCCAGGGTGGACACTGGAAAAAAACATTCTGCGCAAAAGAGTGTAATCCTGCGGTGGTGACTGAACAGACAAGTCGTCATGTTTCATTTTCATCTCCAAGATCCCTTCTTCATGCGAGCGCCGAGTGATCTCAGAGAGTATTCAGAGAAATATTATTCAATAGCAATGGAATGCCAACGTAACTGATACTGTTAACTACCCCAGAACAATGGACCTTTCTATGGTATAGGTTCCCTATTAGGGCCTCAGCTCACCTCAGTATCGTCATCTACATCCCAGCACGTCAGCTGTGTTGGGGAAGTTACCCACAAAGGTAATCCATCAGTACTCAGTTGGTACTCAGCAGAGTACTCAGCACGTCAGTGATACTTTGACTGGGGGAGACAACAGTACTGCGAGGCCTCAATCTCAGTAAACAGCACTAACACAAAAGCTGTACTTCTATCGCTTACACAAATCTGTGAGCACTTGCATGGGTTTCTTGTTCACAATAAGCATTCATCCATTTCCCATAAACATTTATCCAATTAGGGTTGCGGTGACATCCTTTTGCAACTCTGGAAAACAATGTTGGTTCTCTGTTTTCTGGAATATGTTCCTCCACATTCATTCCCTCAAAAAATAAAACAAGGATAAAATCACAGGCACCTCACCACTTAAGACTTGCCTTACTATGCACCAGACAGAGTAGTATTGGAGATCTGGCCATTTTCACACCTGAGTATTGTATTGCAACAGCTTTTTTGACTGAACCTGAAACTCAGGAGCAGGAAGTGATGAAGAGCTGCTTCACTGTAATTGTCACCCCCAGTAAGCCTAAAGACGTCTCCTTCATCGCATGTCAATGCACCAGCATAATAGCTCGCAGAGGTCTGCTAATCACCAACAAGTGCATCTTAAAGAAGAAATACAAACAGCAGCGCACCATCCGACTCGTAAACATCCGAGTGATGCTGATATTCTGGTAAATGTTGAGAGTTCATTCAACACCACTGACAAAAAGCCAGATATAAGAAAAATCCACCATGAACAGACTTGGGTAAATGGCGTGTTTAAATACTGGAGATTTATTGTATCTGTGAGATATACAGTATGGGTGACAGCACTGGGCGTGCGCTCACAGATACTTACTGCACATCACAGAGCATTATTTATCTAGCTACACTAGGCTTCTCTATTATTCAGTCAGCAACTGTTCACTGCGAGACTGAAATGGTTACAAATACACTCATGGACACAATTACAAGTGTTGAAATAAGCGGAGCTTCGTCAAAGATGAAGTATTCTCCCACTCTTCCTCAGAATGAGCTTTGGTACTTAGAGCCTGTTCTTCGGCTACACGATGATCTACGTCTTTGCTACATGAACTCTGACGCCACGGCTCCTCAAACACCAAGGCGAGGCTGCCGTCTCGTCCCTGGGGGGAGAATGGAAACCTTGGATGTCATTTGGTTTGCGATTAAGAGGGTAAATTCCAGACACAGAAGAACATATGTAAATGGTCATGAAAGTAAATAAAAACACAAACTGCACCCTGTAAAGACCGTTGTGGCTTCCAATGTCGGATTGCTTAGTCAAATCTCGGCCTATACGCTGAACCTAACATCCAATGGAAAGACTTCGTATAATGAATAAATTACGTTTCAGTGGCATGATGCAGAAACATAATTGCAATGTAAACATTATAAACCAAAAGCTACAAAAAAGAAAATGAAGCAAAAGACCAAAGTAAAGACATTATTGCCTATTATCAAATTATTGCCTATTATCAAATTAACATTGCAAAAATACGTCGTCACATAAAAATCAGAATAAATACACATTTTCTCCTTCTAGTTACCTGCTTCTACAAGCCTCTATTAATCATTTACCATTTATGGCCCTGTTATGGCCTCGGTCTCTGAGGAATCGGTGCTAAACAGGCACCTCACGAGTCAGCTGAAAGTTTCAAGATCCACAGCACAGTTACCTGGCAACAGTCCGCAAACTTTCAGCGCTGCGAGTTAAGAGTTCTGAAATCCTATTAAGGAAAAACTTTCCAGTGCTCCTGCCACGGGCTGGTTCAGTCAGCCGCGTATGACGCCATCGCCCGAGACTGCAGGTATCGTCTCGGTGATGCGTGATCTCACACACTCGCGAAAAGCGGGCGACCTCGAGTATGTCTCGGACCCAGAGGACTCAAAGCAACGGCGGCTAGTGTTGCAGAACTGTAGGTCCGCTGTGCTGTCCAACGCCACAGTGCGAGGTAAAAATGGGGATATTTGCAGACTTGGGGAGGGGGGTTCATCTGTGCGACTTCAGTGTAGGGGCTATGAGTGTGGCAGGAACAGGGGCAAAGCATGGGCAATCAAACGGAGGGGAACATCAAAATAACGCCAGCATCTTGGCACACAAAATTTGCAGGAATCCGCAAGCAGATCCGCCACTGGAAAATACCCAAACCATGACGCCGGTATCGATCACTGCAACCCGTACTAAGAGAAAACCAGTGAAATTTGACACCATCATAAGTTGTTTCTCAGGGCAACTACATGAATCGCCTTCAGAAAACAATGCACGCTTTGTACTTTTTAACAACCAAATAAGTATTTTCGCCTCACCACCCGTAGAATTCCCTAATTACTATTTATCTTTGAAGAGAATGACAGTCCCGGTCAACCCGTTAGGTGACACAAGCGGCCACCTAGGGCTCCATCTTCTGAGGGGGTGGGGGGGTGGTGACATAGCATGCTAATTTCGCTTTGTCTCAGACGGGGAACCAGCAGCAAACCTTCCCTAAGGTGCCACATGAAATTTGATTGGCACAAGGCTCTTTGCCTTCTCTCGTTACCATGGATGCACAAAAACACGTAAGGGGTTAACGAAAATCACAACACAGGGACTCCGTGTCCAGTATCATTAAGGAGAAAAAGTTCATGCTTTTAGTGGGTGTGGCCTGTCTTCAGACTTCCAATACAAATTAAGAATTGAATGTGGATGGATGTGATGTTTTGTTTAGTGATGCAGTGGTTTGGTGGACGACAAATGAGCTTAGCTAGCAGTTCGAAGTTATGTAATGTTATGTTTAGAGACGCACGTGATAAATTCCTTGGTATCGGTTTTCTGGACAGGATGTTAGAAAAAACATTAATATTTATTTCTCAGTTTAAGTCCTTGGATGATTAATGGGAAAGCAGCAATTATGTTGCAGCACTTTCTGTCGATTTTCATAGCGGATGATGCTCAAAAAGTGCAAGAAAACAAATGATCTCAATCCAAACACATGCATTTTGATTTCATGTTAGTGCACCATTACAAAGCTCATTAGAACCTCAACAATGTCCTAGGAGTGATTCTTAATTTAAATTTGTCATTCTCAGTATTATGTTGGTGAAGTCTGTGAAACATCAAGCTCCTGAATCGCTTGGAAAAAAAACACAGTGGAAGTTTCCAGATAAAACGCACACAGAGCATGACAGCGCTCAATAAACATAGTTTATCCAGCTCCAAAGAATCACAGAACGAGCAGTTGCATTACACTCGTCGACATAAGCGGAATCTCTGCTTCTGGTCTTCTCCTCGTCACTGAGGAGCTGCTGAAGGAGGTCCAGGTGTCCCGAGTCAATGCTCAGGCCGCAGGCCTCGTTTGCTGGAGGGAAGGAGAATTAACGAGTAGCTGAAGACTCTCCTGGCACGACTCCTCACGGCCGGGGACTGCACAGGACCAGCCCAAACTACATCAGACCTCTGGCAGCCTTGCTACATAGTGTTTAGATTGTCCTGCCCATAAATGGGCAGTTTTTGGGTTTGGGGGCGGGGCCACACTTCGCAGACGCACGATAATAGTGGTCTCCCAGTGACACCGGGCAAGAGACAAACTCCAACAAGAAAACAGGACTCATAAATACAAGACGTCTCACGAGAGCGGCAGCTGGTGTCAGCGATGTGACCTAGACTGCAGGAAACGTCGGGACTGGAACCCCCCCGCAGACCTGACCACTTCCCTTTCATGTGCATCATCACCTAATGCTCGTTCATCCCCTAACAACAACAAGATTCATTCTCTTTTGGGGAACGACAAAGCGACACTGACCTGACAGCAAAGTCCTAGGAGCAAACTTCTTGGTGCCACAAGGTGGAAAGCTGGTCCGTATGGCAGCCATTTTTCAGCCTGCAGCATAGCTCTCATCCCACTGGTCAATAATTAACACCTAACCTCCCTCAGTTCAGTGTTCCGGGTGTTTTTTTAATCACATGGTTTGTTGCCTGAAAACACTCCTTGTCTTACGGGTGACAACCGGCCAAGATAAGATGACATGTCCCCAACGGTTTTATAAATAATCCCGGCCATGTTGTGGGTGGGGGGCAGATCATGGCAACGGCTCTGTTTCCTCCACTTCCTGACCATACCCCCACTCCAGGGACGGGCAGCAGATATCCAGCATAAGGCTGCACCACGGACTGTCAATCCAGAAAGTTCTACAGCTTGCAAATTTCATATATATATATTTTTTTTTAACTGCCGTGTAGAGCCACTGTTAAGTACATAATGAAAAATAATCAGTTATTCAGGACACTATATTTATTCTCATTTAGTTAATCTTTCAGCCGTTTTTGAGATTTAAGGATGTTTCATGATCTATTTCATCACGTACTCAGGAAATGCCTGTTTTTACACTTCATTTAGGGAAAAATTATGGCAGAAATTTTGCATGTGAATTACACGATGAACCAATTAAACCTGGGGAATGAGCTGGAATATTACCCAGAATGCATATGGTTGACTAAGGCTAGGGTTTAACACCAGTGATTTTTTTGGGTAATTCGTGCCCTGCTATCCAAGATGCTAAGATACCACCGATAAAATCGACTCAAAAAGGAACAGGGCAGAACCTTTTCATTCAGTCCATCCAATGTTTTCTAATACAAAAACACCCAACAGCAGTCATGGTGTTTCAAAGGACACCAGTTCAGTTAGATGCTCATGGAACTCATTTTGCATGCAACATTAGGGATTATACCTTTCATTATGCAACTATCAACATTTCAGTCAATTAAAACGATTGTATTAGCAACAATGTATTAGCATGGCAGGGGAAAAGAACAGATCGTCCAAATGATCTGTTTTCATGGTGAAAGATTAAGTTAAGGTTTAAAGGCAAGTTTGGACACACTGTGCCGTTATGCATTTCTGCACTTACCGCTACCATTGCATACAGGACCAGGGCTGCATTTGCAATTAGGTTCCAAATAAAGGTGAAAAGCACGGTGTCTTAAAGTCACGTGCAGTTACGATTTGTTGGACTGCCTTTTGTGGACAAATTATGGACTAATAACAGTATGCAAAATTACTTATGGAAAACACAGCAAAACTCATTGCATAACCAGTGTCGACTTGTATTCCTCCTGATAAGGAGTTTACACTTCAGCTGCAAGTGACACATATACATCTAGTCAAATAATCTTGGGGGGAAACAAAGTGAATTAGTAGGAGGCGGTATTTGTATTGGTAAGAATGTTAAAATGATGCAGCTATTGTTAGTGTCATGACACAGCAGCAATTACAAGCAATTTGCACGACTGTACCGTTCACTTTCCGTAAATTATAAGTATCTTATAATTACTGGGATTTATAATAATTAAGTCTTGCTAATTAAGGGGCTGGTGGCAACCAGCATAAGACATAGTCCCCCACAGCTGGTCTAAACACAAACCAATATTAATTATTAATGGTAATTCTCCGTAAATGTTTTTCAGTGTTCTTAAGATGATATAATCACTTAAAACAACAAGAATGTTTCTATTAATACAGCGGGAATTTCTGGCTCGGCACCGAAGCTATTAACTTCACTAGTCTTGTTCATGTCTGATCATCCTCAACTCCTGACTATTAGTGACTAGCGGATGTGAACGATTCGCTGGGAGAAGCCAAATGACATCGGTCCACCTGTAAGAAAATCTCCATCTGAGACGTGAATAGGCTATTTAAGATCATATAATGAACCAAAAGTAATTAGACCAACTGTCTGGTTGGCTATAATATTCTCCGAGGCCCTGAATGACTAATTAAAATATTTTATAATACCGTATGAAAAGGATTATGTAGTAAGATGGCCATTGTTTACTTTGAAATGAACATAATGCAAGATCCCAACATTTGCTTGGCTAGACAGTAAAAACAACAGTAGGAATACAATTGGAATACTGTTTAAATTAGCCATTCGTGTTTACAGAAATTGGGACTGAAACAATTAATAGCCATTTCAGCTCAGCTGTCTTTCCAGCACCAAATCAGCCATTATCGTTAGAGCACTATAGTAGCCCCCAATTATTAGTTTGCTTCTTTTTCAAAACACCAAACCCTAATAAATCCATCCATCATATGCTAGGCCTCTTTTTCGGTGCAAGTTGTCAAGCAAAAGAACAACATTAAAACAGAATCAGAGTATTTGACCCCTTTTACATCACATGGCTATGAGGGATTACTGAAAAGATACATCTCTCACCCTCCGAATGAACTGGAGCTACGCCTGATTCTGAGCACATTGCGTAACTCGGTGCTGAATAACCCACATACTGTATATATATTGAAAAACACCAGAGTAATTGCACTACCGTACATAGGGAATTTCGTGCTAAAAAGGTATAGGAAATGGTCTTGTGTTTGGTGCTGAGAAGCAGGTCGACAACTGCCCTGAATTATTATTTTTTTCTTTAGTTGCAAACAGTATATCTGTATGATTTACACAGGTGCGCGCGCACGCAAAAATTGTCATATACTGGGAATTTATTTGCGGCTTGTAGTATTTACTTCTCCAGTGAACTGTAGGTTTTAATGTTAAATTCAATTATTACCCATAACTTGGATCCAAAAGGACGGACGGACGGACACACACACACGCGCGCGCGCACACACACACACGCGAGACATGCTGCCTAATGCACGCATCACACGCATACAACTACCCAGAAACCCTCTTTAAAAACACTGGCCCATGCCCTTGCTTTGGGGACAACATCGCTGAAGATATTCTGTGTTAGATTAAGGAAGGTAAATAACACACAATATCATGCATAAGCAACTTCTCAAAAAAATCTCTAATTATTTATGTTTACACACATACAGCCTATAACACATGCATGATGCAAATAATAGGTTGAAGTCGTTTAAATGATAACAAATAGATCTGAGTTAAACTTTCTTTTTAAAGCTGCTTCAATATACTATTCGACAAGCACTGAATTTTGTAGTTATATGACTGAAAACAGACGAGATGAACCATTGTTTTTTTCCTGCATTATCATACAGTGATTAATGAATCCAAAATTCCAAATTAAATCAATCAGGGAAAAGCCGGCAATTCGAAAGAACGATCATCTAAAGCAAAACACGTTCCAGGTAACATACAGTCAAAATAAATGGACAGTGGATTATTACACAATTTGGAAAGTACAAGTAAAGCATGATCGAGTATTAAAGCATCGTAAATCTGCAGATTGAATGGGATTTTTGACTTAATAAGCACACGGAGCGTTTCCAGCCTCTACAAAGGCTCTGACCTGCACCCACCAACTACAAGACGTGAAGAAAAATACAAAATATTCAAAAGTTAATAAAAACAAAACTGCAATTACCTCTTCTTCGTGGGTGGTAAATTCATTACTGTCGTTCTCCTTTTCGATCGCGTTGCTGTTCATTTTATGACTGATAATGTGAATTTAATCTCTCGGCAACAATTGAAAAGCTCCGACGGTATATAACAGCCGATAAGCCGGAAGACTTTATGGTACCGGAGTCAGATCCAAACACAAAACTATTCTCATAAATCAGTCAACATTAGTAGACACGAACAATAATGCAATGCAAATAATTAAAAGGAGAAAATGGAGACGGTTGGGCAGGGGGGGAATCTTCATCCAGCTTGACAACTCTTCTGTGCAAGTTATTCCTTGATGGAAAAAGCAAAAGCGATCGCCGATAGTCTCTTATTCCGTATCTGCCGAGTACTCCACTTTCAGAAGTGAAGAAAGAAAACATTACTATCATTCCACATGAGCTGGGCTTCCCCCCCCCCGGCGCGTGGGCTTGGGGGCTGGTCACAGGCAAAAGGTGGCGCGGACGGGCGGACGCGCCCACTGCTCTCCATATAAAACATCCTTGCATAGTGAATTATTATTTTAGTGTGTGATGAAATAAGCTATATGTTGCATTTACGAACTAGAGACACCTGTCTGTATTTACGCCGCAACTTTTTTTCGAAATAGGCTATCTATCCAAAGGGACGGATGGGTTGCTGCAGACGATAAGAAACGGCATTCTTAGTACGTTATCTTGGCATTCGTGGAGGATAAGGAGCGTGAAAAGTGGAATACTTTGGTGCGGACGTTGTGATGTGGTGGAGCGGAGATGGCTGTACGGAGCCATGGGGATTGTGTTCATGGGAACTAGGGCACCTTCGGTCAGACAGAAATAAACCAAAGAAATAAAACGCTTACACATTAACATATAAATAAAAAGCGCTCTGTTGTTGCCTTTTTATCCCTGGAAATAGATTAGGGTCGTAAGCACACCTTTGCACAATCTTTGATCTCGGTCAGCTGCGTTTGCAAGATGACTGGAGGGAAAGGCCGCCTGGTATATACGATACAACTTGATTATGTGCTGGAAATGTAGAGCAATAATAAACTCAGGCTTGCAAGTTGAACCGACTTTATATAGGCCCATTTATACACTTCCTGTAAAACCAATTTTTTTTTTCCCGTGTTTAAGAATTATGTTACAATATATTATTTTATGTAAGTTTATGTAATGAGACAATTTAATAAATGGTTTTCACTGGAAAGGTATGCATTTAGTTTGCTTCTAAAATAATACAAGCAAACTTGCCATATTTATTATTATTATTATTAGAGGACATTGCAATCCAATACAATATTCTTAGTTTCGCAGTAATACCCGGGAGAACAATAACGTCTTCTTGTGTCGGGGAAGACTCTCGGACTTGAATAAAGGTACCTATTCATAGTGATACAATGTAGCATTCAGCGAACACCCAGTATTGGTTATTATAACAATATGTTTAATCAGCAGCTATAATCGCAGAACCTCCGTGTAGCTGCATGTCAGATTCCTATTAAGCTTGATATCAGTTAAATCATCAACTTCAAAGCAATTCACGTCACAATACTGTTTTGAACATTGAAACCTATGATATTGGCT